GTTATGCGAGACTACCGGTTTGATAACACGCTTGGCCGACGACGTCGGCATGACCATTCCGAGTAGAAATATAGCGTGAATTCTTATGCTTTTACTGTTGCAGCCACCATGACGATGGCCGTGTTTCACGTTCAACCACTAATGGCGAAGCTTTGACCAAGTCAGAATGGAATGGAATGCACTTCAATAAAAGAAAAAAATATATAAATCAATGAAGAGGGAGGGGGTTGTTGGGTCAGAATAATAATGCGAATTTCATTGAATAATAATAAAAGATCTTTATTTCTTTTCCTTTCTTTCTTTTTCTTCTTCTCAAGCGAAAGATGATCGCTCATGTGATGGCGGGAAACGAAGCGAAAATGGTGGTTGAATCATAACATTGTTTTTGTTTTTTTGTTTGTTTGTTTGGTTTTATTATTATTTTTACTTTTTTTTATTTTAACCACTATACACATTTTAAAATCTTTCTTTTGCGTTTACGCATACTTTTGAGAAGGAAAAAAAAACGAAAACTTTGCTATACCATGTTAACGGTATCAATAATAAAAGCTTCGAAATATTTGCACAGGAAACGTCAACAACCAAGACACTATTCAAGTGTTATTATCACCTTTGCTATTCACTAATCCCTCCACTACATCCATCCACAACATCCCCAACACACACACGCTAAAATGGAAGGTCATAAAGAAAATAGAGAATATCGGTGATATATGTAGATCAGTGGTTATTTATCTTTGGCAATGGTCATTGATGGCGTTAAACCAAACTAATTTTGATTTATAGAAAAGCCGTGTGAGTCCTTCGGTGTGATGTAATGGTTAACGAGCTTGTCTCGTTGGGTCGACTCCGACTGAATTGTCAGTTCGATTCTCATTGAATAGTGGGTGCTCCTCACTTCCTGTTTTGTGCCACATCTAAACTACGCTAGGAAAATCGATTTGTAATGGTTAACAAGCTTATCTCGCCATATCAATTACTAGATTAGTTGGTATTTATCTTTAGCGATGGTCATTGATAGCGTCAAACTAAACCAAACAAGTAACAGAATTAATTGTCTCATTCGGCGTGGAGTAATGGTTAACAAGCTCGTCTCGCTAGATCAGTTACAAAGTAGTGAGTTTGATCCTCACTGGATGATCCACGCTTTCCGCCTTGGGCTCTTCGTCGTGGTGCAATGATTAGCAAGCTTGTCTCGCTAGATCAATTACGACTGAATAGTGAGTTCGACCCTCACTGGGTGCCCCATATTTTTCAACCTTAGACACTTCGATGTAGTGTAATGGTTAGCAAGTTTGTCTCGCCATATCAATTACCACTGTGTCGTGAATTCGGTCGTCACTAGGTGCTCAAAACTTTCGGCTTTGTTGCCACATCCAGTATTTGTTATTTTGGGGTTTTTTTAATTTCCTACTGTGTATTCACGTTTTCTTTCTCTATGTGCAGAAATACCCAGCAATTTTATTACGAAAAACAATAGTTTCCTATTGTGTATTTAGTCTTTAGTTTAAAAATAATGCGGGTTATTGTTGCTAATAGCTAAGTAACTATTCAAGCAATACTTATTATCATTATAATATTTATCATTTTTTCTTTTTGTATGTAGCATGACTTTTCAAAAGGTGGACAATCATTGTTTTCCACAACTTCCTGTCTGTTATAGTTCTCAGTAAGTTTTTTTTTTTTGTTTTTTTTTTTGTTTTACTATGTTTTTTTGTTTTTTTTACTTTCACTCACTCGTGCCAACCATTAGCACAGATTCGTTCCGGCTTTCTTGTCCCTCTCTCCTTCAGCATCTCCTGCGAGTGTCAACTTTTCTAAGCATTTATGGTTTCCAGAAACTTCAATAGTTTTTTTTAATGATTTTTAATTGTTTATGATTTTTAATTGTTAATGATTTTTAATTGTTAATGATTGTTAATGATTTTTAATTGTTTATGATTTTTAATTGTTAATGATTTTTAATTGTTAATGATTGTTAATGATTTTTAATTGTTAATGATTTTTAATTGTTAATGATTTTTAATAGTTTTTAATTGTTAATGATTTTTAATTGTTAATGATTGTTAATGATTTTAATTGTTAATGATTTTTAATTGTTAATGATTTTTAATGATTTTTAATTGTTAGTGATTTTTAATTGTTAATGATTGTTAATGATTTTAATTGTTAATGATTTTAATTGTTAATGATTTTTAATTGTTAATGATTGTTAATGATTTTTAATTGTTAATGATTTTTAATTGTTAATGATTTTTAATTGTTAATGATTGTTAATGATTTTTAATTGTTAATGATTGTTAATGATTTTAATTGTTAATGATTTTTAATTGTTAATGATTGTTAATGATTTTTAATTGTTAATGATTTTTAATTGTTAATGATTTTTAATGATTTTTAATTGTTAATGATTTTTAATTGTTAATGATTGTTAATGATTTTAATTGTTAATGATTTTTAATTGTTAATGATTTTTAATTGTTAATGATTGTTAATGATT